TTGGGAGTAGGCACTTTTGAGGATAATGGGCTTACTACATTCACTGCTTTGAACCATAGCAATAAGAATAGTCAATTAAATAGGGGATGTAGAAATAATTTTGGTGCATTTAAATAATCCTGCATGATGGACTGATTTAATAGCAACCTGTGGCATTAAAAGAGTGGAAATCATAGCGTTCAATCACATTTCTTTGAAAATAGTAAGCTCCATTGTTTTAATAGGACTTTTGAGATTTTGGAGCTTAGTAGTATGTAATCGATGGATAGATTATTTAATTCCAGGTTGATGGTGCACCCCTGGAAGACCTATCCTTGGGACAGATCATCCTGGAGATAGTCTATCTAATTGGTTCCTAAGAGCTGACACCAACTTGATTATATATAAACAATTGCATATAAACAATCAAGTCTCTAATCAACTTAACTGATCTCAAAATACTAAACAAATTATTTCTGGATGATATTTGAATGGAAGACCACCAGGAAATTCTCATGGCTGTAAACTACACTGGAAGCTGGAAAAAAAAACCTTTCATATCATTGTCAAGAAACATGAACACTTTTGGGCTTGACATTATTTTTATTGGCCCAAGAGAAAGTGAAAAAAATCATCAGAATGTATATTACTTTGGAGATGAGCATATCAATGGACCATTGAAATGGCACTGTACAGCCAGGTAAACCTTAAGGACACCAAAATAATGGCAGTTATATGGTATAATCACATAGAAGCTACTGAATGAATGAGGCATGACACTTGATTCCAGGACATAAATTGGCATTCACATAACACTGAGGGGAAAAAAAATGCAGGAGTATATTGTCCATGCATGAAATAAACTTTTGCTGGATTGGAGAAACACAATTAAAACTGCAGAGTCAAATGCAGAATAACTGCTCTGGGGATATCTATGATATACAGTAGTGCCTACCGGTATATTACCATAGGAACTAACAACAGTTACTTAATAGTAGTAATGCAGTGTGGAATTTAGTGCAGACCGCAAATGTGTAACAAGTCCTTTTGTGCCAGATGCACTGAAAAATGAAAGCTGAGCATACTTTCCCTTCTGTACCTTTCCACTAGTTTTTGCATAGGGTGATGTTTGAAATGATAATGTCTACGTTTTTAGTAGTGCTTGGAGAAAAATGCACCATGAATGTTATAAATGCATGTGTAGTGAAAAAAAAGATGTTGCAGCTACCATTGTCTTGGAAAAGACATTCTTTTTTGTGTGTATTAAAAAAAAAAACTATGATCCAAAAACAATTCTAAAATAATAATTCCAAACAGATCTTAAAATTGAATTTGTAATTTCTTAAACTAAGAATCTACAGAACAATTAAATCATATCTACTCATAAACTAACCAGGGAGAGAAGCAACTTAGAACTAAGGAGAAACTTCTTGAGAGTTAGAACAATTAACCAGTGGAACAACCTGCCTCCAGAAGCGATGAATGCTCCAACACTGGAAGTTTTTAAGAAGAGACTGGACAATCATTTGTCTGAAATGGTTTAGGATTTCCTGCCTGAGCAGAGGGTTGGACTAGATGACCTCCAAGATCCCTTCCAACTTATTATTATTATTATTATTATTATTATTATTAACTAGAGTTAAGCACATTTAGAAGTAGACTTATTAAATCATTGATATATTAGGTAGAAATGATTTATTATTGGTTCCGATGGGTTTACTTTAAACCTGGCTAAATCTGGATTCAACCCAATGTATTTAACTAAATACGTTGAAATCTCAATGCCAATAAAAATAATATGATTAATAGCGATGGGGACAATAATGTTAACTTTTGTTGTAAAACTTCACACAAATATAAACAATATTGTTTTAAGACATCAGAAGCAATGACTTGGCCATAACATGCTGTGTTAAAATGTCTTTGGCTGATTTGTGATTCAGTATATCCTTTAAGCATAGAAGGTCTGTCATTAACTCAGCTCACATTGCTAACTTCAGAATTATTTCCACTTTACTTGAAATGAGATTAGACTGTCCATTTTTCAGTTAAGTTGATCTGAATCATAAAGCCAGTTGGGGTGAAGAGTCTTTTTGTCTTGTATAGACTTATAAACATTTCCATGAAACATATAAAAATATACTATCACACTAAGACTTATATGCAGGGTATAGTTAAAAAAACCCCTCAAGATGGTGGCTACAATAATGTGAACACAGCTGTACAACTGCAGTTGTACAATTGCAGCTATCATGCTAACCTTTTTACAGGTACCACTGATCACACCCATAACAACTTTTCAGTAAATTGCATTTTTGGACAACAAACCTATTGGAATGCAAGTCCTACAGCTTGGAGCAAATTCTATCAATCTCAATGACACTAACCCTGAAATAACCAGTTTTAGAATCTAAAACTAGTTTATACTACATATTAAACCCAACTACCTCCATTAAATTTATATTTACTATGCCTGGGCAGGAAAGTTAGGACTGGGAAATAGACAACATAATTTAAAAGTAGATTTTTCCACTACAGTAATAGAAAAAAACAATTACTTCACAATGGTTCAACTATGAGAACTTCTTCAAAATTAGTGCAAAGGAAGAAGACAGGCTGCCTGAGTGCTGACCAATTTTATTTATTTTTTAAAAAGATTTGTAGGGCTGCTCATGTTTTATAAAATTAACTCTTGAATGGCTAACAGCATATAAACGAATAGCAAAATATTCCAGATTAAAAACCTTCTCATACTTGTTGTTGACCCCATGGACAACGCTCCTCCAGGCTTTCCTGTCCTCTGCCATCTTCTGGAGTCCATTTAAGTTCACACCTACTGCTTCAGTGACTCCATCCAGCCATCTCATTCTCTGTCGTCCCCTTCTTCTGTTGCCCTCAATCTTTCCCAGCATTAGGCCCTTCTCCAGTGAGTCCTTACTTCTCATCAGGTGGCCAAAGTACTTGAGTTTCAACTTCAGGATCTGGCCTTCTAAAGAGCAGTCGGGGTTGATCTCTTCCAGGACTACTACTTCTCATACTACTAAGCACCATAACAATATCGTCATAAAATCACACATGCTGGGCTCTCCTGCCCTCCCGAGTTAATACCTGAAAGAGAAGAACTAATACCTGAGATCTTGGAAGGTGAGATGGGTAGGGACCCTCCGAATCTCAAGGGAGAGGCTGTTCCCCAAAGCAGGCACAGCTATGGAAAGTTCCTAGATCCTCACAGATAACTGCATTTTAGAGAGGAGACATAGTTTGGACCTGTAATGGTATGTAGGAATGATCTTGGGAACGAGAGAGATACTGATAAAAGTCAGGGAGGAGAAGCCCATAGCTGCAAAACAAGCAGAGAGGGAAACTCAGAAAGAGTCTTCCTTAAGGCAGGAAAGAGATGTGGTGGGAGATTCTGTTAATAAATCCCTATAACAAAATAGAATTAATTCATGTTTCCCTACTTGGGAGGCTGACAGAACCCACCTTATCCAATCTACTACTGGGATAGGTAGATGTCCACAGAAGGAGGCAGTCCTGAAGATAACCTGGTCCTATGCTATGCACGCCAACCCCTTGAATTGGCCCAGTTTTTCAGTTGTTCCCCTTTGTTAAAGCGTCCTACACAGTCAGTATGTGTACCCAAAATGGAAGACATTTTCCAGGGTGTGTTTATGGAGAGATTCTAATTCCAGGGTACCCTCAGTCCAAAGTGGAGGAGTAGGCAGTACATAACTTGCTTGCAAAGCAGTTACAGCAGTGTTTTTTAAACTTGGTAAGTGGCTGGGGAATTCTGGGAAGTGAAATCCACACATCTTAAAGTTGCTAAATTGGAAAAATCACATTCTTGGGATAAGCTGTGTGATTCCAGGAAAAGTTTGGGCACTTTAAAGAGTTTTAGACATGTACTACATTTGCAGTCTGCAAACGTATGATCTGAGACCTGGTACTTTCCTGGAGGATATGAAGACACCTTTTCAATGCATGTACACTAATTCATGATGCTATGATAATAATTCTGAAAATCAGGCTTTTTCTTTGAAGGGTGTGTGCATCAGTTTTATATACTACCGTAGTTTTCTTTTGAACCAAGTGTAGGCACATGTAATTCCTTTGAAGAATTCCTTTGACTTTTTGGTAACTTCAAATAAATATCCATGTTTTCTGGAAAGAAACAATAGAGATGGTAGCAGTTACTTTCAGGTTTTTTCCTCCTTTACTATCTAACCTACAGCTTTGCAATTTTCCAGTATTCTCCCATACCTCTCCATCCCCTCCTTTGTAGAGCCATTCCTGACTCCTGGTAACCGTCTAGAGAAGTCCCTGCAATTCCTTTGGCAAGATTTGCCATTGTCTTCTTCCTGGGGCTGAGAAACAGAGACTGGCCCAAGGTCACCCAGCTGCTTTTATGCCTAAAGCAGGACTAGAACTCATGGTCTCCCAGTTTCTAACCTGGTGCATTTAATCACTATACCAAACTGACACTCTATCATATTCAACTAGAAATAATTGTGTATTACTGATGTCTGGGTTTTTACATCAACCAGATTATGGTCTAGAATAAGACCATAATCCAACCAACCAGATTATGGTCTAGATTAGAGTTTTTCAAATTTGGCAACTTTTAAAATGTGTTGACTTCAATTCCCAGAATTCCCCCCCCCCATCCCAAATGCTGGCTGGGGGCTTCTGGAAGTTAAAAGTCCACCCATCTTGAGGTTACCAGGTTTGAAAATCCCTGCTTTTTGTGGACGGATGTGGAAAAATGCCCACCTGCTCCTCTCGGTTAGCACAGAGTGCGAATCCTCCAAAAACGGAGAGGCTGTGCATTTCCTTGAAAACCCACCTTGTGGTAAATGGCCTTGCGAACCCGAGAGGAGGAAGCGGACGATCCGCATCCACTCCTCCAAACGGGCTAGCAGGGAGTCTAGCGGGAGCTCTCGAGCGTAAAACAGGGCTCAGATAGCAGGCCCGCCGCCCGTCCGGCTCTCCTTCACCGGCCTTCCTCTCTCTCCTCCTTCCAGGTCTGGTTCCAGAACCGGCGGACCAAGTGGCGGAAGAAGCACGCGGCCGAGATGGCGACCGCCAAGAAGAAGCAGGACTCGGAGACGGAACGGCTGAAAGGCGCCTCGGAGAACGAGGACGAGGACGACGACTACAACCGGCCGCTGGACCCTAACTCGGACGACGAGAAGATCACGCAACTGCTCAAGAAGCACAAGACGGGCGGGCCCAGCGCCGGCCTGCTGCTCCACGCCTCAGAGAACGAGGCCTCCTCCTAGGCGGCGCGGGGAAAAAACGCCGCGCGGCCGCCAAAAGACGAGCTGAGAGCCCCGCCGAGGCCGCGCTCCACAGACCCAGCTGCTTTTTCCGACCAGGGAAAGAAGGAGGAGGGCGGCCGGGCGGCCCCTCAGAGCTGCTCCTGCCCGGGTGGGTTTCTTGGGGAAGGTTGCGGCGAGGAACCTCGACAGACAGGCCCGAGGCCCAACGTCGCCTGGCCTTTCCCGCCAAAGGGACCCGCTACAAGCCCAGCTGCGGCAGAGGCGTCTCTTTATTGTAAATAGCTTTATTCACGGACTTTATTCACACAGTGAATATTTAAACCTAATATCTTAACTCCCGGCTAGTTCGCAGCCGGAGCGTCGGCGGTCGGGAGATTCGCGCCGTTGAGTCGGCTTGTTTATCTCCGCCCGCCGCCTCCGCTCCTCAGGCTCTTCTCCTTCGGCTTTGATTGCGTGGAGTTTTGTGACTTTAAAGGTGGCGGCTTCTTTCTCGTAGTAGCTCATGAGTTTTCGTCGCTAGCTTAACTCCCAACTTTCAACGCGGACGCGAATGGTCTGCACTGGAGGGTGCGGGGGGGGTTAAATGTAATTGGTTTCCTTCAGCAAAACCTCTTTTTTTTTTTTTTTTTTAATTTTTCCCAGTGGGGAGAATGGACAAGCTAGAGCAACGCAGAAAACTTTTCTGGGGCCGAAGAAGAAGAAGCGGTCTGTGTAACCTGGACATTAAAGTTCTTGGTTGCCATTTCAAATTGGAATAAATGGGCCCCTGATCTTTCGCCGAGTGAACCAGGGCAGTCAGCTTCTTCGAAACAGCTATTTAAAGATGAACGTGTATAACCTAGATATTGTAGTTTAAAGCTCCTTTTAATTTTCTCTCCTGCCAAATGATGCCCCCACCTACACACACACACACACGTTTGCGGGTGGTGGTGCGAAATTCTAACTTTCTTGTATTTTGCTTTGAAAAGCAGAAGTAAAGCGAGAAAAGAGGAAACCAAGCACTCGAGAAAATCTCTTGCAAACAATAATAAAATTGCTAGTAAACTTTATGGTTGGTTTTGAAATCCCGAATTCGCGGCTGTTCAATAGAATTTAAAATGTGGAATGTCAACTTTTTTTAAAAAATGAACATGTACATTGCTTTTGTTCTTTTTTTAAAGCTAATGTATTAGCGTTTTAACCTTTTATTAATTTATACGAAGACATTTCAGTTCGCAAAGTGAACAAAGACAGCCCTACCAAGACCAGATTAACTCAATGCACTTTGTTTTGTTTTAAAAGGATAAATCAATTGAAGTCAGTTATTTCACGTCTGTTGCCTGGAAGAAAACTAAGGGTGCAGAAAATGTCTCATCTGAGATGAAATAAAATTGGTCATAAATAAATCAATAAAAATCATTACAATTGATCAATTATTTCGGTTAATTTATATACCAAATATAGGCAGTTCTTTTGTTTTTTTCCTTAAGGCTAAAGCCCCCTAACAAAAAGCTTATAAAGAACATATAAAGTATTTTAAAATCTCGTCCGCCTCGTTTTGATTTTATATATAGAATTACACATTCCTTTAAACACAGAATGAAAGACTTCTTGGTTCCTCTAGTTATTCGCAGTTTGCCGGGTGATTTCGGAATGGATCCCTGAAAATGAACAGGGTTCTAGACAAGAGAAAGCGAGAAAGACAAAAGGAGGCAAAAGGTGAGAAAAACCGAGAAAGAAGAAAAGAACGATGAAGAAAAAAGAATGGAAAAAAAAGGTTGCGTAGGAATAAAGATGGAGGAAAAAAAAAAGACGAGACGAATTAGGTCGCGTTTTCACGAGACGCGGAACAAAGACGGGCTAGCTAGTTTGCGCTTAGATGTGTCTTGCGAATAAAGCACCGAAGCCCAAATCAGCCAACAGCGGATTATTCCGACCTTCTTAGGGTGGTCCGTTCAGGTTTCGGTAAACTCTGCGGACCCAGACAATTGACTTGATTGGGTAAACTGGGGGGCACGTCTTCCGAAGTCAGCCAATGATATTTGAGAAAGAGAGCGCTCGCCTCTGCTTCTAAGGTATAAGAACCTGTGTGTGAACTTGAGACTCGATTAAAAGCAAGCCTTTTAAGAATGGCGTGCTGTGGTGTATATTGTCCTCACTTCCTAACCTTTCAAGATAGTGGTTAAAAGCCCCATAAATTACAAGTGTTTCCTGTAGGCATCATGCAGTTTAATAATATCTTAAAACATCCCCCTCCCTTAAAAAGAGCCTATTCTGTCTAATAATAAAAATCTGTAGCTCATGATGGTTTCCTGCTTTCAAGATGTAATGATGCCCACAGGTTAGGTGTCTTCATTTGCCAGTTTGAGTGGATAGTTCAAATGGAGATTCCTTGTCCAGTGGCAGTCTACCATGAGTATCAGATGCTATTATGTGCAGTCATGCTGAAGAACCAAAGTATTAGTGTAGATGGAAAATACTCTAATCCGTGTGTTTTCTATTTTGTTCAGTTTCTGGACTAAAAGTGGCAAGAACAAACTGCCTTAGAAAAAGGGAATGTTTGGTTCACTGATCAGCTGAGCAAAATTAAGATTAAGTTAGGATTGTTGAAGCCAATTTAAAATATATTTATTTTAAAAAAACTCATGTATGTACGTGTATTTGCCTTCAACAAATGATATGCCATTTAAAAACTACTTCCTCACCCAGCCAAACAGAACTTTTTAACAACAAAATGTTAAACTAGATTTTTTTTTTTGCTTCCCTTTTTGAGGAATGCCAATGGCATTTGGGCATTATGATTGAATCCATCAATCAAGCATACCCTTCCCAATAATGTGTGGGATCAGGATAGGGATGAACACAGAGAATAATTCAACAGTCTTTCAAGGTACAAAATCTGTAGTGGGGCTCAGAGGCTGAATAAATCCTATTTAATAAACTGTTCTAAAAAGCCATTTCAGATGTTGTAATTTTGGGAAGAGATTGAAGATGATTTTTTTTACAAGCACTTTTGCTTTTCATAAGGCTGTAATTCCCAGAGTTGCTTGAAATAATGAACATTGGGGAGTTTATTGTCAAAATTCCTGCTTTAAACATGCCCCAGAGGGGTTCCCGTTGTTTGTGTTGTTGTTTTATTATTAGCAAGCAGTTCCTGAATCCCAATATTCCAGACTGTGCCAAATTTATTTTGGGTCTCTGAATCATCCAGTTTTCTGTGTGATCCAATACAGTTTAAATAGCAGTCTGTGGGATTGTGATTCTTTTAATTTTGTACTCCAGTTTCTCTTGCTATAGCCATACAGTTTGGAGTCAGGGTCCTTCTTTAAAGAAACCAATTAGCAAACAACTATTTTACCACACTCCAAAAGAAAGCAGACCAGACAATATACTTTTACTTTTGTCTTGAAAATGTCATACATGAACAAATCCGTTCTTAGAGATTCTAAAATTCAGTTTAGTAATATGCCACCTTTCCCAGAATTCAGTGCTATCTACAAACTTTGAAACTATCCAGCAGTATTTAAGCCCATTTAGTTAACATCCAGAAATTAAAAACTAGATTATCAGCAAATTGGGAGAATAAAAGACTGTTAACAAAAAAAAAATCCTCTGCCAAAGTAGCCAACAGTAAACAGCCTAAGCAAAGAACCTCTAACACAGTGGTTCTCAACCTTTTTAATGCCGCGACCACCAACCAGTCGTAAGTTGAGGACTAAACCGGCCGTAAGTCGAGGACTAAACCGGCCGTAAGTCGAGGACTACCCAACCAGTCGTAAGTCGAGGACTTTCCCTGCCCGGGAGCGCCGCACATGTGTGGTGCCGCCTCCTGCACCGGCCGAGGCGTAGCTGGCAAGCGACAGAGACGGAGCAGGCCGACCACTGGCTGGACCACTAGCTGGCCCAGCCCAAGGGAGGTAAGGCACCCGCCGGAAAAGGGGAAAAAAATGGCGGACAGCCTTGCTTGGTGACCCCCTGAAATGGTCAATCGACCCCAAATGGAGTCGCGACCCATAGGTTGAGAACTGCTGCTCTAACACCACTAAAGCTGGTGTCTTTAGCCTTGAAAAAAGACAACTAAATCACGGCATTCTTCAAATACATAAAAGGAAGATACATAGAAGGCAGACTTATTCTTACTCATAAATCAATGCATGGCATAGATTTAATGCCAATTAAATATTAAGAGAAGCTTCCTAATACTGTAGTCAAGAGCTGGAATCAGTAACTCGACACAGATGTAAATGTTCCCTCCATTCATATGTTCAAGCAGAAGCTAGACAGCCATTTCCCATGGATTCCTTACTTTGGGATTCCTGCAATGGACAGTGGGGTTGGATTGGATGACCTCACCATCCCTTTCCACTCTAAGATCCTGTGATTTGTGAAAAGGAGTGCATTAGACCTATTTTAAAGGGTGGTTTTCCTACTTCAAACCACACATAACAGTAAAATGTGACTTGTTTTCTTTTCCTATCTTTATAATATTTCCATGCTAAATTTCTGCCATTTTCAGAAGCTGCAGAAATGAAATGAGCAGAACAAACACACACTATGGGAAAGCAGGAGTGGGAATTTTAGGGCTGCCCAACTGTTGCAAAACTACAAATCCCAGCACACCCCCATTAGTAACCCTGCTATTGGGTAGTTGTACTTTGGAGACTTCAGGAATATTTCAAGGCCTTACAGGTTTTGAAAGGATGTGTTCATACAAGGTATATAAAGAGGTCACAGGTGGTCTTCAACCATTCGTTTAGTAACTATTCAAAGTTACAGCCACATTGAAAAAAGTGACCTATGACTATTTTTCACACTTACAGCCATTGCAGCATCCCCATGGTCACATGATCATAATTCAGACTCTTGGCAATTGGCTCATATTTATAATGGTTGCAGTACCCTGGGGCAGTGGTGGAACTCAAATACCTGAACAACTGGTTTTCTTATTTGATGCAGGTCTGGTCCTCCAAGGCCTAGAACGGACTTCTGGAAGTGGCATCCATGCACTTCCAGTGGGCTGTTCTAGGCCTGGGAAGCCTCCTCCAAGCCTCTGAGGCCTAGACTGGAAGCCAGCTGGTTCTCCGAATGCAGAAAAATTTAGCTATCAGTTCTACCAAACCGGTGCAAACCGGCTGAATCCCACCACTTCCCCGGGGTCATGTGATTCTCTTTTGCAATCTTCTGACAAGCAAAGTCAATGGGAAAGCAAGATTCACTTAACAATTGTTATGTATTAAGAACTAGTCTTAATGTATTATGAAACTAACGTACCTCCAACTGTTTAGGAGGGAAACTTCAAGAATTCAAGTTTAGGCGGGAGCGTGCTAACGTTGCGATTGGTTGACGCCCTAGAGGCAGAAAGTATAAATTGCAGGCATTTGCCGGTTTTTGACAGTTCTGTTCTGACTTAACAAACACCGTTGTACCATGCTGGTCTGGTTATTGCCTATGAAACCCACTACACAATAACAATCATGTTACTAACTGCAGGGATTCACGTAACAACTGGGGCAGGAAAAAGGTCATGAAACAAGGCAAAACTCACTTAACAAAACTAAGCAATGGAAATTTTAGGCTCAGTTGTAGTCATAGGTTGAGGTCTATCTATGAATTCATTTTCTAGATTTGCACAAGGCATTGCACTCAAGCATAAAGTAACCTATCAGATTAATTTACACAAAATAGCACAACCTCCCCCCCCCTAAAAATAACAACTACAACAAAACAACAGAAGCCAACAGGAACCAAATGTAACATGTTGGCAAATGCAGTGAGCAGGGTTTTATCAGCCCTTTTTATGCACATTGGGTGAATGCCATCAATATGTAATAAGGATTGATTTCAGCTACAAAAATCAAGTGGCCTTTAAAAAAACCATTTTTGTGAGTGAAAATAAAGAGGGATAAAATTGCTCATTATTAGGAAGAGGGGTATTTTTTTGTTTCATGAAAAACAAGAACGAACTTATAGTTTTCCAGTGAATTTATGTTCTTCACAGCTACCTAGTAGTTGCATAAAAGTAAAATTCTAGATGTAGAAGGAAAAAAAAATCAGATGTGATTTTGCTGGATTTTGTTGAGGCTAGATTTCTCAACTTTGGCTGCTTTCCAATGGGTGGACTGGGGAATTCTGGGAGCTTGTGTCCACTCATCAGAAAGCAACCGAGATTCAGAAACAATGGGTTAGGCTGTCTGCCAAAACAAACCTATTGTTTGATGTAGAAGAAAGAGAGTCCAATTCAGGTGTCATAAAAGGCAGTTTCCATATCCCTGGCTTTAGAACAGTGGGGAACAATGTGAGTAGCCTTCCTAAGATTTATCTTTTCACCTTGAGTCATTTTTCAATGTTTTCTGACAAAACTCAGAAATGTAATACTGCTACGTCCCAATAAAAAACAAAACAAAAACAGAACGCCAATCCAGGATACAT